CGCCTTGTAGTATTGGGAGCTGGGGCTCAGAACCCCCAGGCCACGTGGGGACAGTAAATTCAAATCGTGATCCCCAGAACAGGTACCTGCTCACTGTCCACTCTCTGCAACCCAGTAGCCAACAAAGACACTGAATTAGAACTTGTCGCCTACCCGATGCTGGGGGTAGGGTGGGACGCAGACGCAGACACACACACACACACACACACACATACACACAGACACACAGACACACACACACTGTAAATGAATGGTATCATAAAGAAGGAATCCTAGGGGGTGGGGGATTAGCTGGAGAGGAGGAGGGCTTGAGCTACAATGGGAACTGAGTGGGAATTTGTCAAGGGTGGTGGGGGGAGAAGAATGGGGAAAGGGGGGAGGCGGAGAGCAGAGAGAGGAGGAGGAGAGAAGGGGAGGGAAAAGGAGAGGAAGGGGGAAGATAAGCAAGGGGCTAGAAGATGGGGAGGAAGATAAAGGAGAAAGGGGAGAGGAGAAGGAAGGAAGATAACAAAAGGAGAGGGAAATGACCAGCCCAGGCCGAAGAGGCCATGCAGAGTGCAGAGGCTGGCACAGTGGCCTCCCTGGCTCGGTTCTGGCCAGCACTGCCCCTGCCCATGCGGAGCTTTTTTTTTTTTTTTTTTTTTTTTTTTTTTTTTTTTTTGCTGTCGGCGGCCGGCAAGCCTCAGCAAACACATTTAAATCTGAAGTGACAGATAAAGCGATTTACGGCGACAGTTTAGCGTCAGATCACTTCCCACCAGGCAGTCGCTGTCCCTGCGGCCCCCTGCTTGCTAGTCCATCAAGGCGGTCTCTAAATCACCCGCACCAGACCAGCCGAGGCAGGCTGGGGAGCAGGGCGGGGCGCACGGTGGCCTCACTGGTGGCCAGACGCTCAGTGTCAGTGCCTGCTCCTCCACACACCGGGCTCCACTACCCTTGGGAGCTGCATAAAGGGATGAAACAAGGGTTCGTGCCACCGTAGGGCGGGGTGGGGTGGGGGATAAGAGGCGAGTTGGCTCTCACAAATCAAAGCCGCGGACTTAAGAAAGCAGAGTGCCACTCTTGCCTTATTTTAAATAAATAAGCAGCTTAAAAGTCTCCAGTGAGGCCGGCTTGTCGCTGTGAGACATGGCTTCCCACCATTCTTTAAGGCCAGGCCCCAGAACCCAGACCCTTCAAAGGCCTCCCTGACCCACCTCGCCTCCCGCCACCTCCTTGCAGAATTAATTGGTCCCTGCGGCGTCACGCACACTTTATTCAAACCTCCCTCCCGGCGCTGTGTCACATTATATTCTACTTAGCCGCTCTTGCTCCTGACTTCCTCAGGACTAATTTACTGGGGCCTCTGTGTGTCAGGCCTAAACATGTGTCATCCTCGCTCCCACACTGGCTGGGGCTGAGGATGATGGCAGCTTTCAGATGAGGACCTGAGGGATGGGAGGTGCCGGCAGGAGCCCCCGATTCCACTCCAAAGGCCTCGGTGATGCCCTGACACACATGTACAGCCTGAGATTGCTCTGAAGAGAAAAATGGCTGTCTCCTTCATGTATGCTCTGCCCTGAGATGACTCTAAGGCCAACGCCAGGCCACTGGATCCCTGGGCTGGCCAAGAATGAGGGTCTTTGTGTCCAGACTTCCAGGCTGGGAGTTGGCCATCTCAGGCCCAGGGGCCCACAGACACCAGGCTGCTAAGGTAGACATTCAAGACATAGATTTAAGGTCACATCCTTCGAAGCACAGAAAAGACTCAAACACATGAAAGCCACAACACCCCCTGCCCCATTTGGAGAACCCCAGACCTGAGCTCTCCCCACCCACCCCTGGGGGTCAGAGGACACTAGAGACAGGCATTGCCCCCAGCATCTCCAGTGCCTGGAGGAGAGAGTGGCCACAGGGGCTCCCTAGCTTATCTTGCCAGTGTGGCAGTCAATTTAATTAAGATGAATGTGGCATACCCCATGGGCAGGAGTTGTGGCTGGCACCGATGGCAGGAGCTTGAGTCTCTCCTGGGTGCTGCCCTGGCATGTGGCCTTGGCCATCAGTCCATGGGGCGGCTATGGGGAGAGTTCAGTGAGCGTGGCTTGCCCTGTGACCTTAACCCTGCCACTCAGCAGTCATGCCTTCCGCCCCCTGCCACATAGCGTACAGCGGTATCACAGGCGCATAGGGACACCGTCACGTCACACCTCACACATGCCCTTTTGGCAGGGTTAAAATCAGTCCTGGCCTTCAAAATGCCAAGTGGCTAGTAGAAAGATGGGGGTGGGGCGGGTGGCAGGGGAGGGCACTGGACCTGCCCTTCGCAGGCGTTGCCTGGGTCCTATACCAAGGCACAGATGTTCTCCCTTGAGCTTCCCACTTCTTAGCATGGGATAAGGGTCCAGACCTCCCCGTTCCCTCACAGGCCCCCTCTAGTTCCCCCACATCCTTCTCCTTCGTGTTCTTGCAGCTGGAGTGAGGCCCAGGGGGACACTCCTCCCCATCTGGAAACAGAGACACAGTGAGAACAAAATGAGGATGGACACACACACACATGCTGTGGAAGCCTGGTGGGACTTCGAGACCCCAGTCACTCCCAGTCCACACTTGCTCCACAGGCCATCAAATGCCCACAGGCCAATGCTACCCCTGGCTTCAAAAATAAAAATTTAAAAATTCCCACCCCGAGATAATTGCTCTCTCCTCTCGCCTATTGTGGTGGCTCTGCGGTCGGCAATGAGAAGCAATTATTCACGGCTAATGATTATAATCAAGTCAAATAGAATTTAATGGACATGCATTCTCTTCCTGCTTGAAACTTTACATATGAATTAAGCACATATGGGTTTCACGAGGCTCGGACGCAGATTTATGCAGCCCTGAAAAGCCCCACATTGCCTGCGACTTTTATTTCACTAATAAAGGCTGATTTATGGGTTCCTTGGAAATGCAATCTCTGCTGCCCCCTGGTGGGTGATGCTGCCGGGGTGAAGCCAGGGCCCAAGGGGATGACCAATGCCAATACCACATCAAACACTGGGGATGCAGGCTCTGCATGGGAAATCCATGTCCAACACCTGCTTCTGCCACTGCTTGCCACTCTGGAAGAGTTCTAAATCCCGACTGAGCCCCTTTCTAGAAAAAGATCTCAAGAAAACACACTAAGACGTTGGGTTCACAAGGCAAGCAAGAGACGGGAAGGCTGCTCATCTGCAGGAGGCACCAAGTCCTTTTCTCGTTGAGCTGTAATTGGCTCCTGTGCAGGTCATTCCTACCTTGCACGTCCCCAACAACCCGATGGGTCACTTTCCATCATCCCCACTGTACGGGGACCGAAGGAAGCCTGGCAGATGCAAGGATGCCATGTCTTGGGGGAAGCATGACCAACAGGGCCACCAGCCCAGGGCAGCCAGCTCAGCCAGTGCTGGCGTGCTCCTCAGCGAGAGATCTCACTGGCCAATCCATGCCCCATGTCCAAGCCTCCAGAGCCTTTTCCTGTTCCATGAATCCTGTGATACCAACCTTGGTCCCTAAACCCAAATTTGTTCACTGGCCAGGCTGCCAGGGGACTCACAAGGCAAGGCACCTGCTTTTCCATTGTCCATTTTACAACTCAACAGGAAAGGAACCACTGGGTGCCGTCCACACCTTTGGCAGTGGCCTGCAGGGCCAGGTGCCAGGGCAAGGCAAACCCAAGAGACTTCCTGAGGGGCAGGTTTGCAAACCAAAGCTATCTTCACTCAGATTGATCCATTGAACAGCCTGCCACCCACCCTGAGTCAGGTGCTCAAGGGAGACACACAGAGCAACAGCCAGAAAGGCAGAGGTGACCCAGCTCTTTCTGGCACTGAGTGCCACCCATCACTGAGACAGGCAGGGTGGGAGGAGGGCACAGTGTTATCCCTCTGCAAACACTGCCAGAAATGCCACCAAGATCACAAACGCAAAGGTCCAGGACAGAGAGAGCAGTCGCCTCTGCTGGGAGCCCAGTTACTTAGGGAGACCAAAGAGACACTGACAGCATCAGCAGCTCCCTGTTCCAGAGTCCTGCAGGGACCAACTGCCTTGTGGGGGCACCTCGCTCTGCCAAGCTGCAGAGCTTCTGCAAGCCAGAAGGCGAGAGGAGGTCCAGAAACACCTGGGGTGCTGTGGGCTGCACAGGGGCAGGGACAGGCATGATGGGGTTCTCCCTGTACACAAGAGCCCTGTGTTAGGAGCTCTTCCTGATAGTCACACAATCATAGAAAAAGACACCTCTGATGCCAGCCCTAGTTCCTGAGGGTTGTATGAGAGAGGGAGGGAGGGAGGGAGGGAGGGAGGGAGGGCACCTACCCAACCTTGTTCCAAGACGTTCCTATGCACATGCTAGTCTTTACTGGCCCCAGACACCCGTTCCTGGTGACTCCAGAACCCTTTCCTTGACCTCAGCCAGACAAACACCACAGCATTCTTCCCTCCCCCAGAGAAGCAGCTGCTTCCACTCTGCTCATCACAATAAACCGCCAAGCCAGCAAGAGGAGAACACACGCAGGAAGCTGAGCAGCTCCCAGCCCAGACGCTGGAGAGCTGCCAGGGGGCTGAGGGGACCTCTCTGTACACTCCCTTGCCTCCATGAGCTCCCTCACCTGGTCAGGTGTGGAGTGAGGCAGGGCTGGTGGGGATGGGGAAGCAACCACAGCCCCCTCCCCAGGATGAAGAGAGCTGGCTCTGGTCTCCACCTCTGAGGCAGGGCAGTGTGGCAACTTTCCAGTGGTGCTCTCCCCCATCCCCACTGCTAATGGGCCTCAGAGCTGCAAGGCAGCTTGGCAGAGCGAGGTGCCCCCTCAAGGCAGGTCAGGGCTTCAAGAGAAAAGAGCCCAAGTAGCCGCCACGCTGGGCTCCTGTGGCGCCAGCAAGCCATCCACACCAGCAACTGAGAGGCTCTCTGGAGCCAGGTGGCGCCCACCCATTTTTGGCACACCGACCAAGCCGAATGTGACAAAGTGGCCCCCCCAGGCCTCTGATTCAGGCCAGTCACTCACCAGCGTTGACAATGGCATCCACTTCCAGCTTGGTGATGTCCCCTCGGAACAGGGAGATTTTCTCATTCAGCTGCTTGTCCTTCTTATACTTGGGGTCCTCCACTTTCACAGTCACCCCTGCAACAGGCAGGGTTAAGGGGCCTTCACTGCAGAGTCACTCAGCCAAAGCCCATGGGCAAAGAGCCAAAAGGGTAGCGAGTGGCCACTGATGGTGGTGGTGACATCCTACTCTGGACGAGATCTACTGTGTGCACACAAGGCCTTTACAGTAATCATCCAGGAAGTGTTGGTGATCTCACATACCCCCTGGTTTCCTAATTTTTGAGACAGGCTGGTCCCAACTTGCTACATAGCGAAGATTGGCCTTCAACTCCTCATCTTCCTGCCTCTATCTTCCAAGGGCTAGGCTTACAGGAACACCCTACCACACCTGACTTCTCACACTCCATTTTTAGGTTTCACACAGAGGCTGAGGTGGGATAAGTGGCTTGCTTGGGGTCATGGGTTACCACACCTACACTTTCAGGCCTCAGGAGTTCCCCAGCATGCCCCTGTAAGCAAGCGCATCACGGCAGCACAGCACAGCTCCCAGAAACTGAGTTACCCGAGGTAATGGCTTATGTGGCCTGGAGCTGGCTTCTTAATGCTGTCATGGAACTGAAAACCAAACTGGCCTCAGGCAATGTCACTAATGAAATGATGTGACACATGAGAGAGCCTGGATGGAGGGAACACTCAGTTGGTGACACATGAGAGAGCCTGGATGGAGGGAACACTCACTAGATGCTCTGGCAGATCCTCCCAAGCCATTCTGTAGGGGCCCCTGGCATGCCCCGAGAATAGGGCCTACCTTTCGCGGTCTCCTTCCATGTGGGGATCTTCTTCAGCTTAATGAAGTCCCTGCAGAAGTAGTGCTCCTCCCTCTGCTTGTCACTCAAGCCCTTCAGAAAGGCTGCAAGGGCAGGACAGGCAGGAAGCAGAGTCAGTATGGCAGGGCGAAGAGGGGCCCCACGCAGGCCTCCTCCTCCTCAGAGTTCCTGCTGAATCCAAGAGTGCAACCCAATCCTACCAGCCGTGCTTCCCATGGCCCTCAGGGACAGAGACACAGACGACTCCACAACGTCTTGCCCTGTTGTCTTTGTTCAGGAAGAGAAACTGAGGCCCAGGGAGACTGAAGGACTTGTTCAGTCACTGCAGACACCAGTTCAGAATTCAACCTGGTCCCTTCCCGATACTTAAACATCTCTAGGCCCCTCATATCTGCATCGTAGTGGGGTGAGATATCCTTGCAGAACAATTGCAAACTTGCATGCACTAAACCAGGCAGGCTGGTGATGCTCTGTCCCTTGTCAGTCACAATGTCACTGATGGCAAGACAAATATCCTCAAAGACAGACTGGCAGATCTGGAGCCCGCTGTCAGCATCCTCCCAGCACTGGCCGGGGTTTCTATGCAGCCTGCAGGCAAATGTTCCCATTTTTACAGAGGAGGCATCAGGCACTTGGAAGGTAGCCTGAAGTCACTCAGATGGTGAGTGAGGACCCAGGTCCCCACCTGCTCACAGACTGAGTAAGCCAAGTTGGTCCCCGCTGCCCCAAGCCAGGCCTTCCCTTGCTGTAGTGAGTTTGAGCCACCTCAAGAGGCTGATCTGCTACAGCTTAGTCCAGGCTTATCGCTCACAGGCTCCCCCTGCTGGTGAGAGGCTATCTATACACTTAGCCCCCCTAGGTGCCCTCAAACCCAGGTTAGGGAAATGGAGAGGGGATAGCACACAGCAGAAAACAGATAGGAGTCCAGTATAGGGATATAGGTCAGCTGGTGGAATGCTTGCACAAAGCCCTGGGTTCCAACTTCACTACCACCTCCCCTCCTCTAGGTGAGACTCAACTCAAACCTAAGAGCAGCAACTGACCCCAAGCTGACCCTTGTATTACCCCATTTCCAAACCTATCCTCCTAACTATACCCACCGACCCGACCCGGCCATTTATCAACCTGCTCCTCAAACCCCCAGGAGATTTCCTGCTCAGGGCCTCTGTACCTGCTATACCTGGAATAGCAGTTTATCTTCCAAGTTATCATTACCCTCTCCGTTCCCTTCTCCACTTAAATGGCGCATGCCTTTAATCCCAGCACTCGGGAGGCAGATCTCTGTGAGTTAAAGGCCAACCTGGTCTACAAAGCGAGTCCCAGAATTGTTACACAGAGAAACCCTGTTTTGAATCTTAAGAGTCTGTGTGCTGGACATAAACCAATAAGATCTATCCATGTAAGGATCTGTGCCATTCCCCACCAGCACAGTGTGTGCAAGGGGCCATGGATGATCAGTGAAGAGCTAAAACCTGAAGGCTGAGGATCAGCTGGTTGAGCAGCCATCCAGGCAGAGGGCCTGCCTGTGCAGAAGTGCTGAGGCAAAAGGGAACATTTGGGGGTGATGTGGAGGGAAGCGGGAACAGCCAAAGCAGAGAGAGAAGGCGGGGCACAGGGGACTGGCAGCAACAGTGGCTCCGTGGTAAGGTGCTCAGCTAGCAAGCATGGGTCCTGGGTTTAAGCCCTGTCCCAGTTTCAGGAAAAGAAGGCAGGACTAGGGCTGGAGAGATGGCTCAGTGGTTAAGAGCACCGCCTGCTCTTCCGAAGGTCCTGAGTTCAATTCCCGGCAACCACATGGTGGCTCACAGCCATCTGTAATGAGATCTGTGCCCTCTTCTAGCTTGCAAGCAGAGTACTGAGAATACTGTATACATAATAAATAAATAAATCTTAAAAAAAAAAAAGAAGGCAGGACTACAGATCCTCAGGAGGGGCGCCCACCAAGGCAGGATTTGAGAGAGCAAAGCCTTCCCGGGGGAAAGCAGGGCAGCAGAATTCTGGCTGTTATTTAGCTCCCCATACTAGTTATCACATGCAATCGTGACCAGACACCCTGAACCTTGGCACAGTCAAGTGTGGATGCTTCCAGCTGGTTAGACCCTGAGCTGGCACCAGGAAGCTGTGGTGACTCCACTGCTTGCCAGCTACCGCAGACCAGCTACAGGCACTGCTGAGATGGTCAGGCTGGGACCAACCCTGCAAACCACATGGAATGAGGCCCACAGCCCAAGGACACCCAGACCCCTGGCAGACACATCTGACAGATGTCACCACCTTAGAGCCCTTGTCGGACCCAGATGAAAGAAACCTGAAGTGGATCTGTCCTTCATAACCTTGGTGGCCTGCTTTGAATGGCCACAGTTCCCAAGGCCCTCTTGCTCCAATGGAGTCCAAATAGAGCACTGTTTCCCAGAGACTGCGCCCTGTCTCTGCCACAACCACCACTACACCAGTCTCAGGGACATCTGTCAGTATGTCCCTATCAGGGCTGGTCCCCAAATACACAACCTCAAAAGGCCAGCATGAGCCAGATATGGTGACACACAACTGTTATCCCAGCATTTGTCAAGCAGAGGCAGGAGGATGAGGAGTTCAAGGCTACCCTGGACTGTATGAGACATGAACAAAAGGCCAGCACACCAGTACTGTGCCTCCATCTCCAAACACAGCCACGGTCATGGCAGACTCTTGAGGTGCAGAAAACTACACAGCTGCCTGAGATGCTTCTCTGCCCCGGGGCCCAAGCACTTGTTCTTCACCTCAGCTCCAGCTTTGAGGATCATCTCCCAGGCCTCCTCTGCCCCACACAGAAGTCACTACCCACCTCCTCCAAGTCAGATGCAGACTTAAAGCACAAGTGGGTTTTATTTTTTTATAAAAGATGTAAAACATGCATTTTCATTCTCTATCATTTTTGAAGAGGCGAGAGTATTTCACGGCTCACTGAGACAGGTGTTGTAAAAAGATGTTCGCAGTAAATTTTGATGGGGAAGCCTGACCCCAGACTAAGCTTCCAGAGGCTCGCGGGCACAAAAGCTGGGCAGGAGGAAGCAGGCTCTGCCAGAGCCATAAAGCGCGCTAGGCAAACGGGAATTCAATGATGTGTTTTAAGAAGTATCTTTATGACACTTTGCAAGACGTTGTTCAGAGAGATGAGACAGGCTGAACCTGTAGGGGTGCGGGGGGGGGGGCTGAGTCTGCAGAACACCAGGTGGGCACAGCTGATAAGGTTGTGCACTTGAACACAGCAGCGTGCAGCATCTGTGGCATTAATCACCTGTGCTCACTGGCCCCTGGGAGCAGAGACTCAAGCAGGGAAGAACAGAGCGTGAAGCCCACTGCAGCTCTCGACCTGCCTCCACTCACACTGCATCCCAACATGGAAGAGATGCCCTCACCCCTCATTCTCAGGTGCGCCTGGATGATACGCTGGCTCAGCAGTCCCATCAGAGACACTGTCACTGAGATGATGTTCCCTACGGTCCTCAATCCTGGCCCCTCCAACAGGATCTGCAGCTGAAGCATAGGAATTCTCACCATGAGCCACCGGGGATGGGGACTGCAGGCTGGTCTGTAAGAGCCCAGCACAGAGTGGATTGGAGGCTGGGAAGAAATGTGAAAGGGACAGCTCTGTCACTCCAATGTGAGCCCAGCACGACAGCAGGAACTATTGATCCCACTTCACAGATGAGGAAATGGAGGCCCAGGGAGCATGCAGCCGTGATCCTGGGACTTGCTGGAGTCGGACAGCACCAATGTTCCTTCTTTTCAGTACACAGTTCTGCTCCAGCATGGTCCAAGAAGCCGAGGCTAGGACAGTGCCCCTAGATGTTCCTGATAGTCCCAGCTAAGTTTGCTCAACAGCCTTTCAGTGTGAAATTTCCAGTCTTTTTTAAAGTAATTTTTAAATATGTATTTATTTTATTGTATTGCATGGGTATTTTGCCTGCATGTATGTATGTGCACCATGTGTCTGTCTGGTGCCGTTAGAGGCCAGAAGAGGCATTGGGTCCCCTGGAACTGGAGATGGGTGGTTGTGGGTCACTGTGGAGAGCTGAAGGGTGAGCCCACGCCCTCTAAATGATCAATCAGGGCTCTAAACTGCTGAGCCATCTCTCCAACCTATTTCCAGTCTCCTAAAGAGGCCCTTAGTTGGAGGGAGGGTACTGTGGCACCCAAGAACCAAGGGGATCAGGTTAACCAGTGCAATCAGATCTGCCACTAACAAAGCTCAGCACTTGGCTCGACCCTCAGGATCATATAAGCCAGGCTTGGTAGTGCATACCTGTAATCTCAGCATCTGGAATAATGTACAGGCAGGGGGATCAGAAGTTCAAAGTCATCCTCCATGAGACAGGGAGTTAGAGGCCATGCTAGGCTACAGGAGACACTGTCTCCAAAACAAAAACAAAAGCCTACATGTCTCCTGATGAGGGGATCCAGCCTGGTGGTTGTCCTCATGCGGATGGTTAATGGACCCAGAGAAGCAGGCAGCCAACAAGAAGGTGAAGAATTGAACCTGGGTCCTTTGGAAGAGCAGTCAGTGTTCTTAACCACTGAGCCATCTCTCCAGCCCCCCCAAGCCTAACCTTTTTTAAAAAAAAAAAAAAAAAAACAAAGTCTTTAAGACAGGTGGATTTCTGTGAGTTTGAGGCCAATCTGGCCTACATAGTAAGTTTCAGGATTACATGGAGAAACACTGTCTCAAAAGAAAAAAAAAGTCTTTTGACCAGGCCATCCCCCCATTTCCATGTCCAGAGCCTGCTGTCCCAGGTCATGGAGACTTGGAGTAACCTCTTCTACACACTAGGTAACTAAAACACGAGAGACCTTGTCTCAACTGCTCACCTGCCAGCCACTGTCACCGATGATGCCTCAGGACTGCATTTGGTCACAGTGGGAACCTCCTCCAAGTCTAGCCCTCCCTCCTGACCCTGGAATGCCCTTCCCAGTCAGCTTCTTTACCTCAGGTCACTGATCTCCCTCTGACCTCCCCAGCTCAGGTGGCCCAGCCAACACAGTTTCCCCATAGTGCCCACAGGACAGAGACCATGTCAGTAGTTTTCCCCACTAGACAGATTGCTGCCTCCCCACTCTCTGCTGAGTCCTACAGCGCTGGCCCCTACTAGATATGAGGTAAAAGTTTATTGACTGAGCGCTAAGGAGATGGCTCAGTGGGTGAATGCACTTGCCATGCAAGCCTGGACACCCGAGTTTGAACACCAGAACCCATGCATAAGCCTAAAGGCCAGACGAAGCAGCACTGGTATCTGTAATCCTAGTATACCCACTGGAAATGGCAGAGACCAGAGACTCTCCAGAACCTCAACGACCAGCTCACTGGGCTTAAACAGACCCAGGGGAGCAGGACTGGCACCTAAAAACAGAGGCAGACCCTACACTAGGTGTGATACTGTCCCAGCCCTCTGCCACCTCCCTGGGTTGCTGCTCTCCACTGGGAGAAAGATGAACTCTAAGAAGGGACAATGACTCCCTCTGCTGGAGTTCTGGGCCAGCCCCCAACCTCCAGCCAAGTTTGAGGGAGTGGCAAGTTTTCTCTGCTCCCAGACAAGACTGTCAAGTGCTTTAGGATCCTGGGCAGACAGGCAACTCAAACCACAGGGAGAAGTTCTCTTTCGGAAAAACGTCCCAATCTGAGGTTAGCTTCAACCCAGTTTGACCCGGGTGGCCCAGCCCGCATGGTCATGCCCACCAGCAGCCCAGCCAATGAGACAGGCGCCTTCCCAGCTCTTTTGAAAGAGGATCCGCCCAGAGTCATAGGGGAGGGACTGGCTCTGAAGGGCAGGGGCAGCTGGGCTGCCGCTCAGGGCTATTTGGGACTCTGGACTTTGCGTTCCAGCTAAGAGACTCGGTCGTCCAGGACCTGTGGCCCCTTCCAGGCATGCCTGTCCAGAAGGAGAAATACTTTCATTCTTGGGGGAATCAGTGACTCTCACCAGCCCACACTCGGTGAGCCCAGTCCCCCAAGAAGGGGGCAGCTGCTGGCAAGGGGCCAGAAGTCAGCAGGCGGGCAAAACGGGCACATACCACACTCCTAGAGAGGCCGGCACCCGAGCTGCCACTCTTGGGGCTATCTAAAGCTACCTGGCAGCCACCAGCCCTGTGTTACTCTCACAGCCCATCCCTGCCACTCGGCCCCAAATGTCTAGCAGCATGCAAGGCAAGGTATTGGAGGCCAAGATACCACACTTTGCTTCTACACACTCAAGCCTGACCTTGGGGAAATAGTCTCTGACACTGGGCCTCAGTTTCCCTCGTGCCCATGGAGGAAGGTGGCAGGTCCCAGACGATCTGGGCGGAAGGCGAGGTAAACAGTTCCTGGGGGCCATATAGCCGCCTTCCCCACTCACTTGGTCAAGGGGTGACCTGGTGTGGGAGCTGGACATGGCTGTGGGCTGAGGGGGGTCCCCAAGTGTCTCGGGACATGTGGGGTGCCATTCGGCCCGGGAGGCCCATGCCCTGAGCTTACACTTACATTTGGCCTCCTTCCAGTCGGTGGAGGTGCTCAGGTCCACCTTCGCGGCCATGGCCAGGGGGGCCCAGGTGCGCACCCAGGCTCCACGCCCCGCTGCCCCCCACGCCCCAACTCCCGCTGAGGGCCACGCTCCCGCCGAGGGCCACGCGCAGAGGCTGTGCGCGCTTAGCGCCACCGGGGGACTGCACGCACTGCCGCGGGGCCGCGGGCCACCCGCCGAGCGGCCGGGCCAGGGGCGCGGGGCAACCAGCAGCTGCCCCGCCGCGCGTAGCTGTGCCAGGCGGCCGGACACTTGACTCTGCAGCGACATGAGCAGGCGGTGCCGGGCGGCTCTCCGCCCACTCGGACGCTATTTACGGTGCTCAGGAGAGTCGGGCTCGGTCGCTTATTTACTCTGGGACGAGAGTGGCGCGTGCCAGCTCGTGGCGACCTGCTTAGAGACCGCGGGCGGCGCGCCGCTGGGCACTCTGGAACTTGTAGTCCGGGTCCGACACACTGCGCTCACGCACTTGTATACACACGAGCGCACCCAGCCTGTCTGTGTCCTCCGGGAGAGGCCGCAGCCAACCTCCTGAAGCTCTTTCCTCGTTCTTTCCGCCGAGCTGCCCTGGCTCAGTACTCAACTCTGTCCCTTATGCATGCTTTGTAGGCAGAGAACTGGGCTTGTCTCGTCGCCACTACGCTTCACCCAGCTCCGCGTCTGGTCCACAACAGCCGCAGGTTACAGTCCACCAAGGGAAGGGGGTAGATGCGGCAGACCAATTTGTCAGGTTGGACGGCTTCTCCCGAGCCAGGCAGAAGAACTCAAGCTGCTCGGAAGCTCCAGGGGCGAAGCGGCGCCTACTGAATTTCAGAGAAACCAAGGCACTAGTGAGATTTGAAAGCCAGAAACTTGGATGCCAACCCTGTGTGGTGCTGCACACCTGTAATTCCAGCATTCGGGAGGCAGAGGCCGGAGGATTTTAGGAAAGTTTAAGACCAGCCTGACTACAGTGCCGCCCCATAGCTAGACCCTGTCTCAGTCAATCAGTCGATCCATCGATCCATCAATGAATATAAAAAAAGAAAAGAGAAAGAAAAATAAAATAAAATCTGGGTACCTAGGAGCACTATCTGGTCAACTAACTAGGGTAATTTTTTTCCCTAAGGACACATATCTGTGTGGCTAGAGAGATGGCTCATCCGTTAAAGAGCACTGACTACACTTCAGAGGACCGGGTGGAAATCCCAACCCTCACATGGCAGTTTACAACTGTCTGTAACTCCAAGATCTGACACTGTTGTGGGATATTTGTACACTGTGAAGCTGTGATTGGTGTAATAAAAAGCTAAACGGCCAATAACTAGGTTGGAGGTGTAGGCAGTTTTTCCAGGGACGGAAAGGAAGAGGAGATGAGGCCGCAAGAGATGCCATCGAGACTCAGAACGAGTCAGACGCACGGAGTCAAAGAGAGATAAAATTCACGTGGTGGAACATAGATTAATAAAAATATGAATTAATTTAAGTTAAAAGAGCTAGTGGAACAAATCTAAGCTAAAGGCCAAGCTTTCATAATTAATAAGTCTCCGTGCCATTATTTGTGAGCTGGTGGCCCCAAAGAAAAATACAACTACATGACTCCTTCACACAGACTTACATGCAGGCAAAACACCAATGCACATAAAATAATAGATTAAAAAAAAAGACACATGCCTGTAATCCCAACATTCCAGTACTTGAGAGGCAGAGGCAGGCAGATCTCTGTGAGTTCGAGACCAGCCTGGTCTACAAGAGCTAGTTCCAGGACAGGCTCCAAAACCACAGAGAAACCCTGTCTCAAAAAAACCAAAAAATAATAATAATAATAAAATAAGATAAAATAAAAACAAACAAACTAGAACAGGAACAAACAAATAAACTACTAGGAGAAAAAGGAAAAAAGAAAGAGCATAAGAAACATATATAGATGCAAAGACATACATGTTCACACACACACACAAAAATCCTATAAAAACACAGCATGAGGAACCATAATATATACACAAAAGATCTGTAAGGGAAGGAAAAAAGAGTAATAAGTAACCCAGGCTCCTGCTGAGCCCAGCAGTGGTTTGTGTGCCCAGTGAGACTCCACTGGAGAAAACTTATTTTTCCTTTATGAACAGTTGTCAACTGGAGATGGCATCTAAGTTAGAGATGGGGTCTTGCGTCCATTTTCCCCTCAGAGCTGGGACCCCATCTGGCCGAGACTCATGCAAGCCCTGTGCATGTTGCCAGTCTCTGATCATATGTGTGTCGTCCTGCTATGCCTAGAAGGCCTTGTTGGCCAGGCATGGTGGCACATGCCTTTAATCCCAGCACTTGGGAGGCAGAGGCAGGTAGATCTCTGTGAGTTCAAGGCCAGCATGGTCTACAGAGAAACCCTGTCTTAAAGAAACAAAATAAAACAAAACAGAAAAGATAGAAGGCCTTGTTTCCTTGGTGTTCCATGTGCCCTCTGGCTCTTACAATCTTTCTGCCTCCTCTTTTACAAGATTTCATAGGTTCCTCTGAGCCCTGTGGGGAAGGATTTGATGGAGACACCCTAGTTAGGACTGAGTGACCATGGTCTCTCACTCTTTGCACATTGTCTGGCTGTGGGTCTCTGTTTTTGATCCCATCTACTGGCTATCCTGAAACTAACTCTGTAGGCCAGGCTAGCCTTGAACTCCACACCAGATTTATGCTGTTCTTGGGAGAGATAACCCAAAGTTTTCTGCACAGTGGGAAAATACTCTCCTGAACTACATCCTAATCCCCAGCCTGGAACGATCTGTAGAGGTAGCCAAGGATGACTTTAAACCTCTGATCCTCCTGACTCCACCTCTCAAATACTGGGATTATGGAAATAGCTATCTACTGGGGGCAGAAGCAGAGGCTTGGAAGTCTCCCAAAAGCTGAGTCCTCCAGGGGGACATGCAGTGTAGGGTGTTGTCTGCTGAGGACTGACTGACACTGAGTCCTCCAGTGGGGCCGCAGTGTAGGGTGTTGTCTGCTGAGGACTGACTGACACTGAGTCCTCCAGTGGGACCGCAGTGTAGGGTGTTGTCTGCTGAGGACTGACTGACAGAGTCCTCCAGTGGGGCCGCAGTGTAGGGTGTTGTCTGCTGAGGACTGACAGAGTCCTCCAGTGGGGCCGCAGTGTAGGGTGTTGTCTGCTGAGGACTGTCTGACACTGAGTCCTCCAGTGGGGCCGCAATGTAGGGTGTTGTCTGCTGAGGACTGACAGAGTCCTCCAGTGGGGCCGCAGTGTAGGGTGTTGTCTGCTGAGGACTGACAGAGTCCTCCAGTGGGGCCGCAGTGTAGGGTGTTGTCTGCTGAGGAATGTCTAACACTGAGTCCTCCAGTGGGGCCGCAGTGTAGGGTGTTGTCGGCTGAGGACTGACTGTTGGAAGTAGGCTTTCATATACAGAGAACTTCCTACCACTGCTGTGTTTAAAGTAATGCTGTTTATTAAAATGTAGACATTTAAAACGAGCTAGTTTTTCTTAAACATCCAAGTGCATCTTGCAAGGCTAATATTTTCTACTTTTAAATCTACTAATATTTATAAAAATAAGAACAATTGCTTCACTCTTCTTTGATTAATATTTAATTAACTCATAAGTTCCGCAGATTAGCTTCTTCTTTAAAAAATGAATGCCAATTATAAACATAGGTAATTAAATTCCCTAATAGATTTTTTTTTAAACTACATTTCACTGAGCCGAAATATAGTAGTTGGGGCCAGGTGGTGGTGGCGCATGCCCTTAATCCCAGCACTCGGGAGGCAGAGGCAGGTGGATCTCTGTGATCCTGGCCTACAAAGAGCTAGTTCTAGGACAGACTCCAAAACTTCAGTGAAACCCTGTCTCAAACAAACAAAAGGAATATAGTAGTTGGAGGCTGGTGTAGTGGCACACTTTATTCCCAACACAAAGGAAGCAGAGTTTGAGGGCAGCCTGGTCCACAGAGCTAGTTCCAGGACAGTCAGGACTACATGCATTGTGTGACAGTACACACACCTACTCACTCCAGGTAGGGGGCCCACGACAAACTAAAGCACAGACACCACCAAGATCCAACTTTGTGAACCAGTGAGTTTTATTGGTTAATTCAGGAGTATGGGTAAGGGGTCACTTATGGAAGCAGAAATGACTGCAAAGTCAGTTGTATCACCAAAGCTGACCCCAACCAGCATGGGAGACAGCTCACAAAAGCTAGGAACTTGGAGCACACTGCACAGCCTGCAGGCAGCTCAGCAGGTTGGAGAGTGTCCCTTCCAAGTGACTCAGTTGGTCTAAACCTCTTCTATGCAGCTTGACTGGTTTCTGCTTCTTCCAGGCAGATGGTCTGGCCGCAATGTAAGCCCCTCTGAAGGAACTGTGGCCAGCCTAGGACTAGCAAACATGGCTCTGGCAGGCCTTGCCCTTCTCCCCCATTACATTCCTAAAGCTAGCCACTAAGGTCTAGTCCCTTATTTGGCCACTTCCTCCTCCTCAGGCTGACTACCAAGGTCCAACTATCAAAGTATTAAAGTCCAGCAATCAAAAGCCCCCTTTGGCTCATCTAATTAACATGTCCAATCAAAATTAAACACAGAATCCCACCAATCCCTGAGTTTACCCCAAGATCAGATCACAAAATCCCACCAATTCCAGGCCACTCTGGAAAGCTCCCCACCTCATCCCGCCCCATACAAGAAATCCTACATAAAGCCTGCCTCCTGCTCAGTTCTTTGTTCTTTCTCTCCCAACAGAGGCAGCCACTTTCTTGTGTCTTTCCCAGTAAATCTTGTGAAAAGTTTGCTGTTCAATGTCACTTTGTGGTATTCCTTGGTTCCCGGTTGCCAGGATACCTTGCCCTTCAGATCTGTACATTTACACTCAGAGAATTCTTTACAGCTTGGCTCTGCTCCTCTGAGAGGGACCCTTGGCTTTTATTGCTTCTCTGGCAGCGAGGAGGTTCGTGAATCTGTCACTTTCAGGGACTTCCTAAAGCTATTTTGAGTTCTTTACCTTCCTCTTAAGGAGTTTCCCTGCAGGACAGAATGTTTCAATATTGGAGGATATTTACTTATGTAACAGCTAGAAAGACCCAGGAAGAAGGAGGAAGAGGAGGAGGAGGAGGAGGAGGAGGAGGAGGAGGGAAGGGAGGGAAAGAGAAAAGAGAAAGAGGGAGAGGAGGAGAGGAAGGAAGGAAGGAGGGGGGAGAGAAGGAAGGAAGAAAATGATAGATAATTAGAAACTGGACATAGTGGTATACCCCTATAATGCAAAGTCAGGACAATCGAGAAATCAGTTCCGGCTGGTTGGTGATGACAGAGTCAGGTGGATCTCTGTGAGTTAGAGATCAGTCTGGTCTACAGCAAGAATTCCAGGACTACATAGAGAAAACTTATGTCAAAAAAAAAAAAAAGGAAAAGG